TGGGGGTAAAACAGCTGTCTCCAGGGCAATGATGGGCAGGGTTGGGGGGTTAAAAGAGCAGAGAGAGGTGAACTGAACATCTGACTTTGTCCCACTTGGATGTAGGTTGGAAGCCGTGTTGGCATTCGTCGGGGGGCAGATGACACAATGCATATCCTGGTAGATGGAGAGGATATGGGGCCTGCGGCCACTGGGATTGCCAAGGTAGACTCAAGAACTGCCTTGGGTTCTGAGTGTGAGTTCTTTGTGGAGGTCATGTGCTGATCTCTGACTGCCTGGGTTTTGTGTCCCTAGAACGTGTGGGCTGTGTTGGATCTATATGGGCCAGTACGCAGTGTGTCCATTGTCAGTTCCACGAGGCTGGAGGAGCCAGAAATCACTCAACCTCCTTCCCCCAGCTCAGACACTGGCAGTGAGGGCGAGGAGGATGACGAGAGCGTGGAACCTGGATTGGGAGTAAGAGGCTGCAGCACGGCCTGCTTGGCATGTGGATGGGCAGTTTGCCATTGGGTGTCAGGTTCTCCAGCGGTCTGGTAAAGGCTGATACTTGAGCTTTATGTACATGCCATCAGGGTGGGACAGGCCTGTCAAGTCCCTGGTACAGCTCACTCTCTCCACATCAGGGCCAGAATCAAATGGGTATAATGCCCACAGTCCTTGAGTTCTTGGAGAACCACGGGAAGAATATTCTCTTGTCCAATGAGAACCGCACTGCCACACGAGTGGCTAGCTACAATCAGGGCATCGTTGTCATCAGCCAGCCCCTGGTGCCCCAGCTACTGGTCCAGGTATGCCTCGCCAACTTCCCAATTCTTCCTCGGGATGACAGTGCCAACCCTCCTGAAGAGGGCTTTTCTGCTATAAACTAGAAGATATAGCACAGTGAACTGGGAACCAAGGTTCAAAGTGGGAGGGAGGGGCTGGTGAGATGGCTCAGTGGTCTAAAGCACCTACTTAGAACAAACTTAGCAAAAGCACAGGGATCGCAGTTCAATCCCCCAGCACCACATGCCAGCCAGCCCCGCCCCCTGGTGGGCTGAGCTGGCCACACACACACATACATAAATAAATAAGTAAAATTAAAAAAAAAAAAGTGGGAGGGAGAGGATGGGGCTGTAGCTCAGTCGAACAGTGCTTGTCTCACATGTGCAGTACCCTGTGTTCCAACACACACACACACACACACACACACACACACACACACACATACACATACACACACAGAGGAAGGAAATGTGTGAGTTTATAGTTCCTGATCTGTTGAAACATCAGGAAGGGCAAGAGTCCAGGCCACACTCTAGAAGCTGTAGTATTCCCTCTCTAGCTGGGGAGGAGGCTGATTCAGCTGGGTAAGTTGGCATCTCTGCCTAGGAGACTGTGATTGTAGTACACTTCCTTCTGCAGGTGCGGATAGATTTTCTGAACCGACAGTGGACGTCTTCCCTTGTCCTTGGAGTCATCACCTGCCCACCTGAGAGGCTTAACTTTCCTGCTTCTGCTTGTGCCCTCAAACGGGCAGCATGGCTGCTGCGGGGCCATGGTATTTTCCACAATGGTCTCAAAGTGAGTGGGGAGTCAAAGAAAAGGCCAGGCTTCTGAGTAGGGAGGGGCTGGCCCAAAGGGAGTTGTGGAACTTGGTCCTGGGAATAGGCACATAGATCTGAAGGGAGTGGACAGGCACAGGTGTGAGTGTCATTACCTGGTCTCAGGCCTGCCTCTTGCTCTTGTGCCTCTGACATTACCCATGTTATAATTGGAGGATAAATGAGCAGGTAACTAAAGTGGAGGTAGAAGCTAGACAGTAAGCAAGTTAGAGACAAAGCCCAGGCACTAGCAACTAGGAGCAGAGGAAAGAAAGGCCGCTGATTGTGGGAGTCTCATGTCTGGAAAACAGTTGGTCTCTCCTTCCAGATCTGTGAGAAGTTTGGGCCAAATTTGGACACATGTCCTGAAGGTACCATCTTGGGACTGCGGATAGACAATGCTGGGGGACTACATCTCCATGTCAATGGGGTGGACCAAGGGGTAGCTGTGCCAGATGTGCCCCAGCCCTGCCATGCTCTTGTGGATCTCTATGGGCAGTGTGAGCAGGTCAGTGCAATGGAGATGGAAAGGAGGAAGTGCCCGGGAGATTGAGGAGTTTGGTGCACAGAAGGAATCACCAGGCTGTGGCGGCTGATGGCTGATTACTCCCCTCCCCTACAGGTGACAATCGTGAGCCCTGAACCAGGAGCTGCCAGTGGAAAGAGTGCTGGAACTCAAGGGGACATGGAAAAAGCTGACGTGGTGGATGGTGCGCCACCCCAAAAGGACCACCATCTTACCCCACTCCCCTACTCCCATCTTTCTAGCCCCAGGTCCTGAGACCTGTGACCCCTCTGCTCCTTCAGGTATCAAGGAGAGTGTGTGCTGGGGTCCACCACCTGCTGCTAGCCCTTTAAAGAGCTGCGAGTACCATGCCCTTTGCTCCCGCTTCCAAGAACTGCTGTTGCTTCCTGGTGAGTCCCAGTCCTTCAGAACCCACCCACTTTATTCCCACGAGCAGGCCAAGGCCATGTCCAGAGCCCTGGAGGCAGCTTGAGAGCAGCAGCATGGTTGAGACAAGGGTGGGAGTCAGCACCAAACCTGCCATTCACTGTCCCGCAGAGGATTATTTCATGCCTCCACCGAAGCGTAGCCTGTGCTACTGTGAGTCTTGCCGGAAGCTTCGAGGGGATGAGGCCCACAGACGAAGAGGGGAGCCGCCCCGGGAATATGCTCTACCCTTTGGTTGGTGCAGGTTCAACCTCAGGTACATAGGGGTCATGGTCAGGCATTTCTCTTTAACTGTTCTTTCCCTTAAGAAAGAAGAATTTCAAGTTTGTGTGTGTGTGTGCGCGCACGCAGGCAAAAAAAATGATAGAAAATGGGATACATGGAGCCAGTGACCATTGTGCTGTTTGCCTTCTCTTCCTTCTAGGGTGAATCCTCGCCTGGAAGCTGGGACACTAACCAAGAAGTGGCACATGGCATATCATGGGAGCAATGTGGCAGCTGTACGGAGGGTGCTGGACCGAGGGGAGCTGGGAGCAGGTACTATGGAACAACAGGGAGAGATAGGAAATGCTGGACCTGAAGGGAGGACTCACAAGGCCTGCCCTGATCATGTTGTCGTCCTAGGTACTGCCTCTATTTTGAGCTGCCGGCCCTTGAAGGGAGAGACTGGGGTGGGATTTGAGGAGCCTGGTGAAAACTGTGCACCTCCCCGGGAAGAGCAGCCCCCTCCAGTGCTGCTTTCTCCATCCCTTCAATATGCTGGGGCTGAGACCCTGGCCTCCAAAGTGCAGTGAGTACACAGGACTGAAATGCTTTGGGGAATCAGACCTGGAGGGGACCCCAGGGCCTCTAGGGTGGACATGATTTGTGCACCAGCATTTTTTCCATCCTTGCTTGCTAGCTGCTGATTCAACACCTGAGTCCATTCCTCATTTATTCATTGAACATATACCACTTAGCACAAGCTGTTTTAGTGAAAGAACAAAGGAACCTGGGCAATTTAATGACTTAGCAAAACCCTGTCTCAAAATTTTAAAAAGTTCAAGGAGGGCTGGTGAGATGGCTCAGTGGTCTAAAGCACCGACTTAGAACAAGCTTACAGCAATTAACCACTAAGAAGACTATATGCAGTGTATTATTTGTTGAAACTGTACTTCCGATTTGATTTGAAACTGTCTCATTGCTATCTGTTTAACAATAAAACTGTAGAAAAAAAAAAGAAAAAAAAGAAAAAAAAAACAAAAAACAAAATATAAT